GTCCTCTTTAGATTCTTTCACCTAAAGACAACAAATATGCTTGGAAATACTAGCATTTATGTTTAAATAAATAATATTTTTCAACTTATCACACAATTTGACTTAGAAATATATCTCATAATTCTTTAACTTGCTTTTTAATTTTGCATTTTGTATTCATAGTACATAACACTGAAAGATAGTCTTGTTTATTTATATTAGAATATAATTTAGTATTGAGTGCATGTAAAAGAACTTTTGAAATACGGAAACTGCACAGTATCACTTTTACAAGTTAATTCACATTAGAACACTAAGGTTTAGGAAAGTTCTGCACTTTGTTTTCTATTATGGTGCCATAAACATATTGAATTCTGAAGTGCATATCTCTCAAATATTCAGTATTTCCAAGGTATGTGTATATGACCCATGCTATCTAAAGTGGAAAAAGAAATGCTGGCACAGCTCACCAAGCTTAAGTGAAAAATTATCTACATTACTAAAGAGGAACTCTATTTTCTTTAAAATTCTTCAGAAGTTGTAATCTGTTGACACTTTAATAGCAACTAGTCAAAGTCAATGTCATCACATACAAGAGCATTCTTTGCACTAAGAAGAGATTAGATAATAAATTCCATTTGCTCATTAATAATCACAATTTTTAGAAAACTAACTATATTATTAACAAGATAGTATTCAAGTAATAAAATATTTCATTTACAATAAAGATCTCATGCTCAGTTATATTATTCCAAGCTGAATTTTTGGAACTTAAAAGATGAGAAAAAATTTTCCACAAAAATTTAATTAGTGTTAACCATTTTATAAGGAGAGCTGGAAGAAATCTTTTTGCAAATAAAGGTTATTATTTAGAATATATTCAAGAAAATTATATTATATGGTTTGTTATGTCTTTATGAATTGAGTATTAGAAACACCAACAATTTCCCCATTTTCTTATTAGTATAATTTAACAATTTGATAAATGTATGACTTTCTTTTACTAAAAAGTTTTATGATATCATTATGTAGTTCTGGATTATCTGCAAGTATTGATCTTGCAATTATTTTATATGAATATTAAAAATTTTATTATCCTATATTATTTACTAGATACATCTATGTAATTTTCTTTAACTTAATAAATCTAGTAATAAGTCTATAATAAGTCCACGTTAGTGCTCGTATAATTGAACACAAGACTAGACAAGAAGAGTATCACACAATTCTTTAACTTGCTTTTTAATTTTGCATTTTGTATTCAATATTTTTATTAAGTTGATATTTATTTATCATTGCATATCCAGAAAATTTAAGTTTTTCATTGCTGCAGGCTAAGCTAATATAACCGATAACCTAACTGAATGAAAAGAAGATAATTACCCAAGCATTCAGGAAGTAATTATAAATATTAGAGTTAGGATGATCTAAGCTGGAGAATATTTGCAATGCTTATTACAAATCACAGCAACCTTGTTTTAATTTCTTGCAGGAAAAAAAATTATCAACAGATTATATGTTCAAAGATAACAAAGGACAAATGTTACTGATGATAAATTGCTTAATTATTTTTATTTTTTATGGAAAAAAATTAATATTTCAATAATTCCACAAATAAATCATTTTAAAAAATAATTTTAGATTGATTGCAAAAGTTATCAGAATGAATTTCATTAAATTATTGCAAATTATTATGCAGCAAAAATAACATTTACTTAGCAATCATACTTTTTTAATCATAGTACTGAGCACACTTCTAATTAATTTTTCATAAATCAATAAATCTACTTTGCACATTTATTATTCATTAGTTAATGTTCATAATCAATTATCATACAATCTTAACAATTTGAGAAAATTTTCATAAATTAATAGCATTAATTTATACAATTTGCAGTAAGGAATGGATTGCAAATTCAATCTAAACACTGTTTGCTAGATAAGCAATCTCAATAGTTTATTTTTAAATTTTAATTTTTCTATATTTTTTTTAGTAAAACTGTTCTATGATTCACCACCATATCATTTCACAATTAGTTCTAAAACTGGTTATTTTTACTTTCAATATAAAAGATTAAAACTTACCTCAATATAATAAAACTATATTCATACTTAAACCAATAAAAACAGAAACAAGAAGCAAACCTGAAATGTTTGGTCATTTATAAATCTTTCAGAACAATTTAAACTGACAATTTAATAGGAACTTTGGTTAAACAATAACTTTCATTATGCAGTACATCTTACAGAAATAGACAATGAGGGCATCATAAACTAGAACACAACAAAATAAGCAATATCCCACAAAGTTTTCCAATCTGAATTAAGTATAAAATATATATATATATATAATAAATGCAATGTCATTAATATAATTACAGTCATATCCCTATATCACATATTGTTAAGATATACAACATTTTTATTTTTATTGTTTTTCAACAGATTATATATTCATCAATTGAAACTAAACCTGTTCTAGTAAATTGAGAGTCATTCCTATTTATGTCTTTTATAAAGACTTGAAGTCAAATGAAGAAAAATAAATAAAGTAACATATTAACTGAAATTAAAGCAGATTTTCATTTAACAGAAAGAAGTGCAGGTGCCAGCATCTAATTTGTCAACATTTATACTTTTTCCTCTCTATAAACAATAGATTTTGTATAAACAATGAAAAAATGAAAAAATAATCGTGTTTAGACGACAAATTTTATTTTTATTTTTCCTTGCTGATGTAAAACAAATTTTTCAGAAAATAGTAAACAACCCACACAAACCTTCTTTTAAATTAGCAGATCAAAATACTTTAATTTGTTTAAAAACTGTAATTATATTTATTTATTGTTCAATATTATATTAGTTTAAATATATTCTTTTAAAACAACCAATTTTTTTTAAAGACCAAAACTATTTGCATTGTTTAAAGTATTTTGATTTGCTGATTCAAAAGGTTTTGATGTGGTTTATTATTGGCTTAATCAGTTTAGAAGGCGATTAGATAGTAAATATTTAATCATTTTACTTTAACACATACTGAAATAATTTTTGAATCAAAACATTTAAAGATGCTTTATATTCAATATTGTACTGTTTAAACAGAATTTTATTTAATAAATTAGATAAAGTTTTAATCTACCATAAATAAATTATGCTAGATAAATCAGTTTGATTCAAAGCTGATAGAAATTGAATATGTTAATTGAAGTTGAATGCAGATAATATATTATGACAGGCTAGTTAACCTTCTCTGAAATCCATTCTTTCAACCTTGAAATTATATAAAGACTATCTTTTGCAATATTATTGAGTATTACTTTCAAAATATTTATATTTTTATTTTGTCATAAAATTTTAATTCTCCTAAGTAAACCTTTACCAGCAGTATTCTTTGTTTTCCAAACATTTCAGCTTATATGCTTGAAAAATAAAGAAAGCCAGAAACATTTAAAAAATTAAGAATATTAGTGGGTAAAGGCTTATTCTGTAGAGCCTTTGTACAGATTTTTTAAACCATTTTATGAATTGTAGTATAAAATTTTAAAATGAAAATATAGTTTAAGACATAATTTAAAGGTTACTTTTATAATAAATAATGTTTTGAATATTGCAAAGCTGCATCCAAGCATAAGGTTTAGAATAATCTATACATAAATAATCATTTATGGTCATCACAACTAAGCAAACCGTCAACACAAATTAATTCATAATATAACTAAAACAGTATGCTAGAACTGGAAGAGAAACACACACATAATACATATTTCTTTTTAATGCTGTAAGATATAATAATTATCTTCATTTTCAATGAAGTTTTTAAATTTCACATCAAAAATAAATGAATGACTGACTTTTTCTGCTATGTAATCATATAGTAGTAAAGAAAGCATTAATCATTGACAATGATAATCAATTCTATAAATGATACTGTCTTTCAGCATTAAGATACTTTAATGATAACAAAAATAGCAAGTATAGATCACAGTATTTAAACTTTTAAATGATTAACTCAATTAATATCAAATATCCTTAAATCCAGTAAAAATAGAATGTTTATTGAACGTTTTCAACCATGTTGAATAGCCATCTTCAAGTTATATAATGGAATTAATGAACAGAACAGGAAGCATCTTTACAGAACCTGAAGATGGTCATTCAACATGGTTGAAAATGTTCAATAAACATTCTATATTTACTAGATTTAAGATTTTTTGATATTAATTTTAATTAATACATCAGTTTTTTGAGTTTTTTTCAGATTAATTCAATGCCTTTCATTAAATATTTAAATTTATATTTTTGTTAATTTATAACCCTTATATCCACTTTTCACATCACTTTAACATTAATATATTCATAATTTTTATGTTCATATTTTAATGTTTGTAAATTTAAATATGTATTCCTTTTAGCTTAAGCGAACATTCTAATAGTATCTTTAACATATTCCATATTGCCCAAAGATGACGACAACATCGTGCCGAAAGCACACTCGCTAATTTTGTCATAAAGTATCAATGACAAAAGACAGTATCGTTTGTGTTTATATAACTATTTGCATGAAGCATATAAATATATTATTTTTATTTATGATAATCAACCGTAACACCACGGCTATTTTACGTTAAGGACTATATAATAAATCACTCCGTGCAACGTCTCGCATCGATCAAAAAAATATGAAGTATTACAACATCCTTTATGACTAAAATTTTAACGGATTGTACTTACAAGTTTTTTTATAAACTGATTTCGAAATCAGAATTCATCCTTCATTTATTTTAGCAAGCTATTGTTATTGCAATAGGCAATTACCTTAATATACATACTCGACACGTGACATTCTCACTTCCTTTGGATACTTTTACATGATAAATGTTACCTTAACAAATTATAAACAAATGCATATGGCACTTAGTGAAATGTACAAAATAAGGAAAATGGATCGACAATACACCATTGTGTCGTCATAGGCGTGTTTAAAACGCGTTATAATCAGCGATTCGTATCAGTAAACTTACCTGATAAGAATCTTTTCATCCCATTTTGACTTTTTATTGAGAAAGTCATCAATCAATGCATAAAGGAGAATGTTAAGCAAAATAGAATTGTTACACAACTTTATAACTTTCAACGCTAAGGCACCCTAAGCAATTGTCATCGATAAGTCATACCAACAAAATAATTGGACGGAATGATTAGGTTTTATCATCTATTTATTGTTCAATTAGAATTAGAAGCCATTTTAGAGGTAACGAAACATTAAATCGACTGTCGCGCCCTCTCTGGAGAGAAAGTTCGATTTCGATTACTTTCATTATTTTTATTTATATATATACAGTACTGTATATAAAAAAAATTTTTTTTATTATAAATTGAAAGAACGTGTTCGTTTCTGTAATTTATTCATTTTAAAAGTACGTATTATATTTTAAAATAGATTAAAAATATATATAAATTTGTTTGGGTGAAACGAATTCAAACTTTAATTTCAAATAGAAATGGCGGATTGATATTTTCGGTCAGGAAAAGGTTTAAATTGGTTTAATATTGCTCGATTAATTAAGCGCAAATAAATATCCGTAGATTAGGTATATTTATTGTTTTAATGAGTTAAATCTTTCGACGGTCAGACAGCCGAGGCTGTTTTTAAAAACGTCGTCGTATCGCTCTGGGGAATCTTGAATCGAATCCGTGCGAATCAACCTGAAAATTCTTCATGAATGATAAATATACCGGGTTCAGTTTCTTACAATCCTGTCGGTCCAAAATCGGACGAAGCCTCAATGGATATGGAAAAAAAAACCTCCGTGAGTGAGCACGAATCGGAAAAAAAAGGAATCATATTTGTTATTTTTGCCGACTTTAATTATTAAAACATTTGTAATTATTCGCTGTTATGTTTTTAATTATAATGTTTTCTTATTCTTTTATAGAATAATAAACACAACATTGATGTTAAGCTATAAATGACTTAAAATGAAGTCCGATTAATGAATGAGAAATTTGTATTTGAATCATCATAATTTTTTTATGAACAATTTGTGAGACGTTATTTTTTTTTCCTCACAGCTTCTACCTATATCGGGCTTGGTCAAGGGAGATTTTGAGGAAATTGATGGAACAAGTAGGATGGAACAATTGGTGCAAAGTGTAGTACGTTGGGCGATTTGCCAAGGAGAATGCCTCCCGGTAGGACGTCTTATAGGAAACTGATCTCATTTAAGTGTTAGATACGTGAAGTACTGTACACAAAAACATGTAAAAACACGAGGCCAGCACGTTGGAGAAGCGCGAAGCCGCGACTTACTACTGGTGTTTAGTGGCACGTTATCCTGTGGGAAAAAAGAGGAATTGCCTGGGGTCCCCCACCAACGGGACCCCGGGCAATTGCTCAAACCAATCGTTTATAAACTCATTACTTTTCTACATAAACTTTTTTGTATATTTTTATTGTTTTTTTTTCAATTTATAGCGGAATTATTATGATATTTGGTGACATCCCATTTTCCAATGCAATGTTCGTACTCATATCACGTATCCTATATAACAGCTAGTATGTAGTGATAAAAGGTACAAATGATCTTTCAATAAACTTTTATCATCATAAGATAAGGTTTAAGATTTACAAATTATTTATTGTAGATTTGTAGTAACATTTTACATGCAAATCTATCATGCATTTCAAGCATATATATATACAGTAGATCCCCCTATAAGACGGTAGATACGTTCCGTTCTTTATGAATCAATTTTGTAGGAATCATAGTTTACGGACTACGGCTGTTTGAAAGGTTTTCTTTCATAAAATTAATCGATTCTAGACTAATTCGACTCAACATTTCCAAAATACGTATATTTTTTTGAAAATAATCCGTATAAACTACGTTATAAACAAAAAATTGTAGGATTGCTTACCGAGTGTGTACCGTTCGACTACGCCCGTTGCTAAAGCTTGGTTTCGTCGCGGAACAGCGCATCAAACCGCGGCCGCGATTTCTGATATTATTTTTCTGCGAAAACTTCGTTGACCTTTGGAGACATCCTTAATATAAATAATTTTTATGGCCGTTAAATAAGAAATGTTTCTTTCACAAGAAATGTATAAAATTACAGTACTGGACAGACGATAGGTCGCCTAACTCGCCGTAGCGTGACGCTAGACGGCGAAAAATATATATTTAATTATAATAAAGTTACAATAAATTAAGTTAATATATAATTATATATACAGTACCTAATTTATATATAATTAATATATAATTATATGTACAGTACCTAATTTATATATAATTTATATAATACTGTCCAGACGATAGAAATCTCTCCGTAGCGTGGCGCTACGGACGGCGGGAAAGTAGTTCGGCTGCCCGATGACGTTTTACGTATTATAGGAGTTATTTTTACCGTTGTTTACGGATACTGCCACAATTTTTATAGTAATCATAACTATAGGAAACGGTTTTATAGGGGGATCTACTGTATATATATATATATTTTTTTTTTTTTGGTGCATTCATAATAATCTGTACCATCGTTGCGAGCAGCCTTTTCTACGTGGTCAGCTGAAATGTCCACCAATTTTGCGATGTTTACCCTAATTGAACAAAGTCTTCACTTTATAATAACTCAAACCATTCAGTGACATTTAGATTTTTATTACATTTGCGAAAATCCTCTTCTTTGCAATCACATTTCCTACAGGAAGAAAAAGATGTATTGTTAAACCATTTCTTTATTATGAATTCCTTTTCCTTCTTGGCAATAGATTCAGTGATTAATTTAAGTCTTTGTTCTTCGGAATTTATATCGGAAACTCTAGCTTGCACTTCCACTTGCGAACGACTAATATTCGGCTAAGATAATGAACAAAAATGGTTCATTTTCATCCACACCATCCTCAGGTGGAAACAAAATAATGTCGCCAAGGTCCTCCCCATGTTCTAATACTTTAATTATTTGTCCAAGTTTGAGTAAAGAAAAAAATAAATGAAGCACTATGCACCCATCCCAAAAAGCAGTTTAGTTCAAATATTGCCCTGTCTTATCTGCAGGTAAAAGCTACTTTTTATATTCATATTTTTGTTATATAATTTATTATTTTGTTAGTAAAATATAATAATATAAGCTTGCTATTCCAATAACAACATGTAATCAAACGAACAATTATTTATTGTGACACAGTCACAATGCCGGGCTGCAATTTTTAATCATACCTCTTTAATTCCACTTTCTTTTAACAGCCTCTTTGTATTGGAAAGATTAATAACAAATTATTTTGTATAAAATATCTAATAAAGCAATTAATTCAAAATTTTGTGTTAAATTCACAATAATTTTGAATTATTTCTAGCTTCAAAAGTAATATTCAATAATTATCTTTTACTCTTTTTTTTTTTGTAAAACTTTAGTGAGTCATGGGCAATCCCGAGTTATTCACGCAAGGAGCGCAATTATGTATTGTAATTTAAATTGTATTATGAGATAATTACGTGAAACAGGTATTGATATTACTTTATGCTGTAACTCCGTGATTTCTGTCATCTTAATTTACGTTTAGAAGTAGAATTAAATTGTTACCCTGTTATAAATCATAACCTAACCGATATTCTTATTAAATATTTATCAATACTTTTCAAAGTTCACCTTGCACAAAAATTTCCATTTCCTCTTACTTTTGAATCTTTCGTTCTTAAAGGTAGTAAGAGAGCCTTTTTTATTAGTTTATCACGAGTTCGGTCAGGCCTACAATAGAGGTAGTCTGATGGCAAAGAATAGGATTCAACATATTCGGGACAGTTTACTTACGAAAGATTTCTGAGGTCCTGACACGAAATCGAACCCGATTCCCCAGTGGAGCAGACTGACATTTTTACAGCCTTGGCTAAGGCTATTAATTTCCAATTAATATATAACGTATAAAATTTGTTGTTTGCAAAAATGCAAAAATGTGAAATATATACAGCAGTGGCGTAGCGTGGGTGTCAGCTCCCGGGGCAGAAGAAAATTTCGCCCCCTCCCCTTATTTAAATATTTCAATTTAAAAGACTAAAAAGTGCCGCCCGGGGCGGCCGCCCCTGCCTCCCCTACTACGCTACGCCACTGCTATACAGTGATACCCCGAACTTACGTGATAGGTGGGGACCGAGCGATAACCGCGTAAGTCGGGGTATAATTTCACAATTTGTGTAAAATCCAAATCAGATGTATGTAAGCTAATAAATGTTCTCGTTAATCTTATCTCGTCTTTTGATTCGTTCACGGTTACAAGAAATCACCACAAAGAGTCTCTCGAGTCTCCGTAGATATAACAAACACGGAAATAAATAACACAAAATAAATTGTAACTATGCGTTGATTCCGCGCGACACATCCGAACATGTAAACTGAACAATAGTGTGGGGGGAGTGAGTAATCAAGAGCTGCGTGCCGCTCAAACAAAAGACGAATCGACGAGATTTGAAAATCGCGTAAGTCGGGGTAGCGTAAGTCGAGGTATTACTGTGTATATATAATAATATTTCAAATCAGAAAATCACAGTTAAATAAAAGATTAATTCTTTATTTAATTCAATTATTGCTGGATTATTTTTTATTTTTTTGCATATGTATTGTATCAAACATGCAAAGTACAACGTATTGTACTTTGTATGTTTGATACAATGTTTAAAATTTTTGTAAATAAAATTATTTTAAAAAGTAATTGTGTAAAGACTATAATTCGCGGTTTCTGGAAAAGTAAATCAGTTGAAATTGAAATTTTTGAAATTTTATATTTACAGTACTTTGACACATGACAGGAAGTCTCTACGAAATTTCAAGTAGAAGAGTCATCAAATAGGACAGAACAATGAATCTTTCAAGTATCACTTCTAACAGCACAATCTACGGACACTATGCTATTTTATAGTGATATATCGATATCAATACTGGAATTACATTATTGCGATATTTAATATATCATTATTTTTCTTGGCAGTTGTTTACTGCCGAGTTTCTTTTACTCTTTCCGCCTTCTGGGCATTGACAGGGTATTTTTTAAATCAAGCCTATCATGGGGTTCATCATCATAATGAGATAGACGATATGTTTGTTTAATCGCTCACAATAACTTCTGAAGATTCGAACTGGACTTCAACCAAGATCAACCGATTATCGTGGAGTGTAATTGTTGTCTATAAAATCCTAAACTGTCAATAAGTAAAATTAAATGACATTTTATTATAACAATAAATTATAACTTTTATTATTTTATAGTTATTTTTCGATGCTAAATCATCTTTTATTGTC